TTGGTTTGGTCGGTAAAAAGCAGCACCGGGTTTCAACGGCCTCAATGGCTACTGATTGCGTTCCAAACTAGGAAGCGAAATAACAAAGAAGCAGATGCGAGCGAGTTTAACCATTTAAGCATTTCCAATATAAAAGCAAACATTAACAACCGAAGATATCCGTATGAGCAGCAAAATCTGGTCTTTACCGATAACAAGTATGTGGATGCTTACGAAGAATATTTAAACTTTCGTAATCAATATTACGACTCGTCGCAGGAGAGTTCCCTTCTTAGCTACAAAGAGTTCGAAAAGCAGCCTATCTTCATTATCAATTGCACCCGTCAAAACGAGAGCGTCCATAACGTGGTGATCGATTTGAAACTGGAAGTTGAAGCATCATCTGCATTTGCAAATGAAACTATCGCTTACTGCGTTATTTTACATGATGCATTAATCGAGTATGAACCGTTCACTGGCATCGTACGCAAAACTTAATTATAGTTCACGTAAAAGTGTAATTAAACTTTATATAAATGAAGAGTGTCAGCTTTGACGAATCAAAAAATAAAATTTATATCTTGCGAGTTTGGTCCTATGCTCACAGAGAAGCAAGAAAGGGCCAGTGGGAAACTGTCGCATTAGATAGGTACCGCTTCAAATGTAAAATAGAACGCATTGCAGCTGTTTTGGAACCCATATTATGTAATCGTATTAAGATGTATCAATTGCAATAAAGTAAAAATGATTGAATTTGGTTGTTTTATTTAAAAAATTACTGAATTACATGAGTATTATAAATATAATAAACGTTAGATAAAGCGCAACAACAAAGTGATCGTACATGATAGTAGCAACATGCTTCTAATTTAGGTGGAGCTGGTTCTTCTTCCACCTCGGTGACATTTTGCGATAGAGTTTTTCGAATGAAATCGGCTTTTTCTTTTCCTTTAACGTATATTTGGTCTGATGATGATATTAACTGGCGAAGTATAATTGGAAACATGTAGGATGGCGTATGACCATGCTCCCATTTAATTCCGTGATGGTTATGAATTAGCCAGGTAGCTTGACGTTGTAAATCGGTAGATAAGCTATTCCACGGAAATGGAGGCTTGAACATAAAATGAGCAACCTGCTTGCCATTATAAATTGCCAGTTCTTTTGGTATAAATACGTTTCTTGATGTTTTAAATCCTTGTACATCGATTACAGTCTGCACCATTCTGTCGTTGACAGAAGATTAAGTATAGATTTTACCACATCCTTATTAGTCCTCTTTTGAATCAGTATAGATTTTACAATCATGCAAGCTGCATCGTACTGAGCTGGTTTTTCTGTATTAGTGCTAATGCTGCTGCTGCTGCGGATAATATACAATCAGTGAGCGTGAAATCGATATGGCATATAGTCATCTCACCAAAAGATATATAAAGGAGCCTGGTGAAGGTGAATTCAAGATAATCGTACAAATATCACCGTTAACGCTTTAAAGAAATTTCAAGAACTCTATAAACTACCTAGTGATGGCAGATTAAATGCCGAAACATTATCATGTCTCGACCTAGATGCGGAAATATTGATGACCCAGCAGCGTATATGACTCATCGGTATAAATGGACAAAACAGACTTTGATTTACTATATTTCCAATATGCATGACCTGCACATTTTACAGATGACGGATAAAGCATTTCAAGTTTGGGCGAACCACTTATAGCTCAAGGAACCCAGACATATTAATATCATTTCATCATGAGTTCGCTTCACCACCATATCCGCAATGTGCATTCGAGTTTGATGGATTGGGCAATGTATTAGCCCATGCAAGCAGAATGTTGTTGAAATGCATATAGATTGGGAAGAACGCTCATGTAGCAGATGCAAATGCACCTCCCCCCGGTTATTCTCCAAGTTGTCTTACACGAAATAGGTCATACTCTCGGATTACACCATTCGAGCGATGAAAATGCACTCATGTTTCCTTATTACAATTCAAATATGATCACGCTACATGAGGATGATATAGCTGGAATCCGAGCACTATATCCTAGTGATACTGCTGGTACCCCTTCACCAGAGAATAAAACTTATCATCTTTCAACGCGTATTAAGACAACTACACCTACTCCCAAGACTACTACTCGCAAGACCATTAAACCACCTGACCTGTGTACCATTCAAATCGAACACTTTTTGATTCTAAACAAACGACTTTATATGTTTTATGAACATTGGGTTTGGATATCGGCGTTAAACAGCAGCAAAGTGGAACCTGCCAAGAATCTGCTTGAGTGGTTAACGTTTCTTCCGGCATCTTTTAAACGTTTGGAAGCGGTATATCAAAAGCCTAACGGTGATGTTGTCTTCTTTAGTGGCGGTCACATATACATAGTGCAATTCCCTAGTCTGCAACTGCTACCAGGATGGCCTCAGCCTTATAGCCACTTCACAATTCCAAACAGCCATAAAGTGAATGCTGCAGTTAACACCTATACCGGACGCACGCTTATTTATCATGGTGCAAATGAACTGCTAGATTTGGATGATTGTAGTAATCGACCTAAAAATCGCTTAATATATGCGGAAACCTTTCCGGATATTCCTGCTAAGACAACTTCTATATTTAAATACATGGATGGATACCTATACTTTATCACCGGAAATAAATTTCATAAATATAGCGAATATACGGGTCATGTAATTCAATCAGGCGATATTGATCTATCCTTATTCAATATTCATTGTGCTAATAAAGGCGTATTGGAGCAATTATATAATGTATTAGCTAAACTTTTAAAGTTTGATAAACAAATTGAATTGTATATGCGGCATTAGGTGGATAATAAGTTGTTGTGTATCGATACGTATGAATAAATAAAAAGCATTTTTACGCTATAAAATTCTTTATTTTAACAAGCTAATTCTACTAACAACCCTATTTATAAATTTTCTAGGGTGAATGTTTACAATTTCTGTTAGAAGAGTAAAGTCTTGCAAATTATCATACTTTTCCTTCCAACTGCATAGCGATGTTAAGAATTTGAGATTTTGGCATATGATTTTCGCTCTGGATAAAATGCTCTCTTCGCTAGTAACACCTTCGGTATGTAGAATTTTTGCCAACTCACGCGTAAAGTCATCATAAAGACAATACATCGCATAGTGATTGACGACATTCAGTTTTTGAGTAATCACTTCGGAAGCGTTAAATATCATATCGACTGCTTGCTTGGAAAATAGTATAGATTTATCTGATTCGCTTATTCGAATACATCTAACGCCTTCTTCTTCTTCCGCTTCAAGTATTATTATTTTGGACTCGGTAAAAAATTCATGCTTGCTCCTTCTTTTAGGCGTACATTGCACCATATGTTTAATTAAGTGTTCCGTTTTAAAATTGAATATTTCTTTCCATTCGCAACTCTCAAATTGTAAATACTGGTCTTCATAATGCGGAGGACATGATATTTGCACGATGGAATCGAAAAAGTACTCGTCCAGTGTAAAGCCAACTTCGAGAATAATGCCTCCGTCTAAGAATAGCGACCATGCGGATATTAAGGTTTCCTTTCCTATAAACATACATCTTTTGCTTCCACCATAATCGGCGTTATTCAATACATACCTTGCTCCTCCTCTTTCGATGATTCATTCACCGATAATTTATCTACCGAAAGCGATGACTTTGCATCATCATCATCTTCGCTACCCCATGAATCTTGCGATTCTTGTTGTATTTGTGCACTCATCTCGATATAAATCGATTTCTTACATTCTTATTGCTTTTATACCGTCTCTTAAAACTACTTTGGAGGGGATTAAAAGAAATCCATCATGCGCAGTGTATCTTAAAGGTATAGGTATAAAACTGGGAACGAGGTAATGCTAAAAATCATTGCGTTAAATCCTCATATCGAACGCTAATGGATCGAATACTTGCCAACATCGCTCAGCGAGAGGCTCAAAAGGAGTCTAATTATATCGAGACGAAGAGCGAATTGTTAAGTTTAAGTGTAGAGGAATTATTGAAAATATGGATCAAGATCCCCAACGTATTGCAAAGAGACTGTGAATTACGTAATCGAATACGATGTAAGAAACATTGGAACCAGCCGTGGCAGCGCACTCACATCGATGGACCCGCTCCGCTAATGATTTATTGTAATGATTGTATTTCGTCAAAGCATATTCGAAAACCAATGTCATATTAGAATGTAATATTAGAATAATGCGTCTAAAAATAAAGCATAAAGAAGATAAGCTCATTTCCTTTCTAGTTAGCAATATGAAAAATTATTTTTCGCACACGATTTAAGCGTCTTATCATAGCTGCTATAAATAAACACTATTGCGAGATTGCAGCTTCCCATCCTAATTATAATAACAACAACTAAATTTCGCGCGCTGTTACTCTATAGATACCTATAAAACCTAAGTCGCAGGTAGGGTTCGCTGCGCCAACCAATATCAATATCCACCATCACCTCGTTATAGGTCTATAATAATCTTGCGCGGTTTCTCAATATAGAAATGTAAAGCGCGCATGTTATCACTACTAGCGAGAGCGAGATTGCAGTTTCCTCTTTCAATTACGCGCTTTTTCTAAAAACATAATAGGGGTAGCTCCCGCTCCTACGAAATAGCTTATACGGCCTAGGGGTATCTACCGCTCCTACTGCTACCCTCTACGCCCCTGCAATCGCGCCCCCCTCATTCTAACAATACTTGAACTGCTAAACGTTCATATCTCAAAGCCTCGCCTAGCTCAGATGGTTAAGGCGGCAGATTCGTAATTCACGTATCGACGGTTCAAATCCTCGACGCAGCCTTTTTTTCAGACAAATATTTCACAAGCTATGACGCGTTTCCTGGTCCAGAAACAACGGAAGCAAAACACACAAAATGTGACGTCACAAAATGGCCGACTCACGCGCTCCCATTGGCTCACACCGCACCACGTGACCACAATACTCGATTCTCATTGGCGTGACGTCACTTCCTGGTCTAGAAGTCCCTTTGCTCATCTACTGTGAGTATCTAGCTTCCTTAAAGCAATTAAGTATACCTTGTCAATTCAATTGTATACATGATAGTTGTAAACGATCAGTTTCGGCACTTTTCCTACGACCAGTATTCATATGTGGCCTTCGAGATTCAAATATTCGCGAGAGGTTATTAATCGAACAAAAACAGTCATTTGACGAGCTAGTTGAACTTGCGATCACCCTCGAAGCATCAAAGAGGAATAACGAGAATCTTGCGGCAAGCTGTTCATCAACCTTACCAACGGGAGTTATTCAATCAGCTGTGCAAGTTAATGAAGTGAAATCTCACAAGAAAATTCATCGAAACCGCAGCCGTAACAGGAATAGCGATCATGTTCGAAATTCCTCAAACTCTCAAAGTCGCTGTAATTCACAGACACGTAATAAATTCAGTTATCTAGGAATAGGTCACTTATGTTTACGCTGTGCACTGGCAAATCACTCATCACGTGAATGTAGAATCTCGCAAGATAAACTGCATTGCAATTCGTGCAATAAATCCGGGCATGTTGCTAAAGTCTGCATATCTACGTTATTCAAAAATCGGAAGAATCGCAATGCTTCGGTACAATACCTCGATGACCCAATGCCTTCAAGCAGCTCAAGTTCAAATTATGTGCTACAAGTTGTCACCATTCCAAATATTTTGAACACCTCAGTTAACTACACTGACAGAAAGTTTCAAATTGCTGTGCAATTAGAAAATAAGGAATCCAACTTCGAAATTGATTCTGGCAGTCCTGTAACGTTTATGTCGAAGAGCGATTATGATAAATTAAAGCTAAGTGCGGTTATTCAAAGTGCGGACATTCAATTTCGTTCGTTTACACTACAGCCATTCACTCCATACGGAAAAGCGGAGATAAGTGTTCAATATCGTGATATAGGTGCAACACTACCACTTTATATCATTAATCGAAATGTAACGTCGATTTTAGGAAGAGATTGGATGAAAACTCTAGGGTTATCAATAACTCATACAAATCCCAGTGATCGTACACCACAGGAGCCCTACGCAGTTCAACAAGTGCAGTCTCCCAATTCAAATTGTGCGGAAGAAATATTTTCTACGTTTGCAGATCTGTTTAAACCAGAAATAGGATGCATTCCCGGGATAAAGTGTTCGTTACGAATTCGCGAAAATACGAAGCCCATGTTTTTAAAAAACCGTACAGTGCCATATGCGTTACTCGATAAAGTAAATAAAGAGCTTGATAAATTGGAATCACAACAAATAATTACCAAGACTACACACAGCGAATGGGGATCACCTTTAGTAATCGTACCGAAATCAAATAATGAAGTACGGCTCTGCGTAGATTTTAAAGCTACAGTCAATCCAAATTTACACGAGGCAAGATACCCCATCCCATTAATCGAAGATATTTTCAACAGATTACGAGGTGGAGTATATTATTGCACCTTAGATGTACATAAAGCATATTACCACATCAAAATGGACGAAGAAAGCTCAAAAATTCAAGCTATTTCTACGCACCGCGGAGTCTATCTCATGAATCGATTGGCTTTTGGAATTAAAGTCGCACCCAACGAATTTCAACGTATCATGGATGAAACATTCTCACACATTCCAGGCACCGCCGTGTATTTTGATGACATTATTATCACAGGTAGTACAATTGAGGAATGTCGACAGCGGTTAATCACCTGCTTACATAAATTACGCTCGATGAATTTGCATTTAAATCGCGACAAGTGCAAGTTGTTTCAAACGGAAGTGACATATTTAGGGCACACAATCGGGAAATTTGGTATTAAGAAAACGAAGGATAAAGTTCAAGCCATTGTAGATGCGCCACGCCCGATCAACTCCGAACAGGTACATTCCTTTATTGGTCTTACGATGTATTACGCCAAATTTCTACCTGATATCTCGACAAGTACAGCGCCATTACGTGAACTGTTGAAAAAGAACGTTAAATTTGTGTGGACAAATAAATGTGAAAAGGCTTTCAACGACATAAAAACGTTAATATCGAGTGATCGAGTTTTAGTGCCCTACGACCCGTCGTTGCCACTTGTGTTAACGCGAGTCCGGTCGGTATTTCGGGTGTTTTATCTCATGTGATAAACAATGAAGAGCATCCGATTGCTTTTATTTCTCGTGCGTTAACACAAAGTGAACGAAATTATTCCCAGCTTGACCGTGAAGCTACCGCAATATTTTGGTCTGTTAAACGACTTTATAATTACTTGTATGGTCGCAAGTTTACCCTTATTACAGACAATAGACCACTATTCCATATTCTGTCGCCTTCTAAGCAGATACCAGCCATGTCCGCAACACGATTAATTCGGTACGCATCTTTCCTGAGTGCATTCGATTTCGACATAAGTCATCGCCCAGCAAGTATGCATGCAAATGTCGACTATTTTTCTCGTGCAACTAAATCCGGAAGCTTACTAGTTAACGATGAAGACGAACATTCGCAATATTATTCAAACATTGTACAATTTTTAGATTCCGAACTAATCACGGCTTCAACAGTAGCGAAAGAGACCGCCCAAGATGAAGAGTTATCTGCGTTACTACACTCGATATCAACGTCTCTCGAATACGCTCCGGAATACTCGACACATAAAGGAGTAGTATTACGAGGGAATCGAGTCGTAATACCTACGAGCTTACGCCCTCAAATTTTACAACAACTGCATTCCGTGCATAGCGGGATCACGAAAATGAAAATGATCGCCCGTAACTACGTCTATTGGCATGGAATAGATCGTGACATTGAAAATATCGCCAAATCCTGCGCCGTCTGTGCAAAAATGCAATCAGATCCGGTGAAGGTTCCAATCCATTCGTGGGAAAAGCCTGACGCTCCATGGCAACGCCTTCACATAGATTATGCGGGACCCAAGGATGGTAAATTTTATTTTGTAATCATCGATAGCCACTCAAATTGGCCAGAAGTATTTGCATCGAATAGTGCTCCTAATACAGAATTGACAATCGAATATCTACGAGAAGTGTTTTCGCGGTTTGGCATACCCAGGATTATTGTTTCAGATAACGCCACTATTTTCACTAGCGATCGCTTCACATCTTTCTGCTCGAATAATGGAATCAAACAGTGCTTTTCAGCTCCAGGCCATCCGGCAACGAACGGCACTGCTGAACGAGCAGTACGGACACTGAAGCAAAGGTTAGCTGCATTGGCCGATTCACCGATTCCGCATCACATTAAGCTACACGAAATTTTATTTACGTGGAGGAGCACACCCTTGAATTCAGGATCGACACCAGCGGAACTCATGTTAGGACGACCTATGCGCACCAAATTTGACATTCTACGCCCGGCTCAAGAGAAGACACCATCTGGGAATTTACTGCCAGTAACACGAAAATTAAAGGTGGGAGAAAGGGTATGTGCACGAAATTACGTAGGATCGGAAAAATGGAAGTTTGGCACCATTTTAGCAGTATATGGTAGCCGACATTATTTAATACACCTTGACAATGGTCATGTGTTAAAACGTCACATTAACCAACTTCGATCGACACAAGTGGAAAAGCCAGAACCGCCAATGCCAACGCCCAATCGCAGAAAAGTATCGTTCGCACCCAACTTGCCCATCGTACACATTTATAACGGGAACCAAAGTGATCCATCAAATAACTTAGTGCCTACACAGCAGGAACGGGAAGTTGGGGAACAACCCGAAGCAGCTACACAGCCCGAACCAGCTGCACAGCCCGAGCCGCAGCTAATACTCCGACGATCAAACAGAATCCGAAACCAACCAGTGTGGATCCAGGAGTATGTCACCAAATAAGACATTTATTTAATTATTTGTTTTGCTTTTTGTAATTCTTAATTCAAATTGTTTCGACTTCTGCCACTCTATTTAAAGGTGGGAGAATTGTTGTAACCTTAAGCCCGTGTCACATTATCAAAAAGTTGGACAAATTAAACTGACAAATTGAAATAATGACGTCATTCTCCTATTTTTTCCGATCAGTGCCAATATCTTGTGTCACACTATACAACAAATTTGACCAAAATGTGGTGGTACAGTGAAGCTCATTCGTAGGGTTATTTGTAATTGAAGGTTGTTTTTGTTAGGGACCCTATATTTGATTACTGTAAAATCTTCGTTGTTTCATAAAAATTCACAATAATTAAAGTATGAATGCAAATCGGAACAAAATTGTTGGGATTGGCATTGGTCACCTATCAACGAACAATAAAGAAAAAACCTAAAAAGAGAGAAATTTGGGCGAAACCTTGGCTATTAAAACGGAACGAGAATCATGGTCGGGGTGTATTAGCTATGGTTAAAAATGAATTAAGGAGTAGTAGTTTGAACGATTATCAAAATTTCCTCCGAATGGACCAACATTCATTTATCAAATTACTTAAATTACTTACACGAACTATAAGCAAACAAGATACTGTCTTACGACAATCTATTAGTGCAGAAGACCGGTAATTTCAACTGAAAACCCTATAGAAATGTTAAGTGCAAGTTTTAGATTAATGGTTACGTTAAGATATTTAGCTACTGGCGAAACGTTAAAAAGTTTAAGTTTTTCAACCCGAATTGCACATAACACATTAAGTGGAATTATTAATGAAGTCTTAAATGCAATTGTTACACATTTAGACGATTATCTCAAGGTATGTAATTACAAATAAGGTAAAAATAGATACAAAATTATGTATATACAAATTAATTTTCTTCTTCATCTTGTTGTTGATACTTGTGTAGTACATTAATTATGTGACGCTTGCAAGCCTGTTTTATTCTATTACTCTTGATTGTTTGAATTTCATCAGCAAGGAATGTTGCAAATGTTTGCCATGTATTATTTGGAACAACTGGCTCGGAAATTTTGTTTAATGCTGTTGTTATTTCTTGAAATAATGGAATGGCAGCATCGTCAATCATTCGTTTTTTATTATTTTTGTTAATTGGTTGGTTGCTTGCCCTTTTTGTGCGTGGTGTTTCTGTGATGGTTTCATCTAAATCTGCATTTTCAGAAGAACCATTACTCATGCTCTCGCTTTCATATAAGGTGTGTTCCTGAAATTATTAAGCACATTACTTTATTACAGCCTCCTCATACAATGGAAGAATGGAAAGAAATCTCAAATAAATATTACGAGCTATGGAACTTTCCGAACTGTGTAGGTGCAATGGATGGAAAGCATATCACATTCCGTCCACTAAGGGCAGATGGTTCTTTCTACAGGAACTACAAAGGTTCTGACAGTATTGTGTTATTTGCAGTGGGTTGATGCAAACTATAAATTTTTAATAGTGGATATTGGACGAAATGGCAGAATAAGTGATGGTGGAGTATTTCAACGAAGTTCTTTATCATATGCAATTAATGAGAAAATTTTACAATTACCTATGCCAGTTTGTCTACCTGGGAGAGAAAAAGTTGTGCCGTATGTATTTGTAGCAGATGATGCTTTTCCATTAAAGGAAAACATTATGAAACCGTACAAATTTCATGGCTTAAGCAATCAGCAACGAGTGTACAATTATAGACTCTCTCGTGCAAGGCGGGTCGTAGAGAACGCATTTGGGATACTTAGTAATCGTTTTCGCATTTTGTTACAAACAATGAATGTTAGTGTAGAAAAAGTGGAATTGATTACGAAAGCTTGTTGCTTTCTACACAATTATTTAATTTCGACATCCCCAAAATATACTTCCAATTTGGAAGAGGAAGACATTAGTTGCGACTTCTTGCCCTTGCCACAGCAAGGAGGTAACAGAAGTGCAAAAAGTGCACAACAAATTCGAATAGAATTTCAGGAGTACTTCAATACCTCAGGAGTCGTGTCATGGCAACAACAATCTATCAATAATTATAGAATGTAACTTGATAATAATAAAAACTTAAGTTTATAGCGTTGAGTGAAAAGTAATAAGAGGTAAGGGTAACCGAGGTGTTTCAAAGCGTATGTGATTAGTAGGTACACAAACAACTTCCAATCACATACACGCTGAAGCATCTCAGCTGTGAACTTGGTGCCTTTTGACAAATATGCTGCGCTCATTAGTTTTAATTCAACGTTTATAGCAATGCTATTTAATTTGCAATAATTACTTACACCCTGACTGTCCGTGATTTCAACAACTTCGTCCCACGTGCTACAACCGGCAGCACGGGATAAATTAGAAAAACTTGTCCGAGCATTGACATGGTCTTGTAAGAACAGTAACTGCTCAAAGCACCATAGACCAACCTGTACCAGTTCTGCGCCAGATCCACTTGGCTTACTCTTAAGCTTTCCAAGTTCTTTATTAAATTGTGTCCTTAAAGAGTTAATTTTTACTTTAACGTCGTTAACTGAAAGCAGTATCATTTAGCAAGTTGTAAATAATAAAACATATTCACCAGTAGTATTTGGTCTAATCTCGCTCAGACCCTTTGTTATTGTCTCTAATGCATGCAGCCGGGCCCCTTTATTATGGTACTGAGGATCTTTTACAATGTATAGCACCTCATGGTTTCTATACAAATCAATTAAAATTGATGTTTGATTATGATTCCAGGACATAATTTAAAAATAATGCACAACAGAAAGGTTAAAAGAATTACTAAGGGGTTATGTTTTGTCACAGTCTAGGTTATGTAATTATGTGTATTTATTTCAATCGCCGTTACTAGAGGCACGCTCATGTAACGTTCCCGCTTTTTTTTCCGGCTTTAAAGCAACCAATAACAATGCACCTCGCATCAAAAAAATAGGAGTGCCTCTAAAATTAGACAGTTTGACCAAAATCTAACTGTGACGTCATTACCTGAAGTTTGTCAGTCCAATTTGTCAAACTGATTGATAATGTGACATGAGCTTTATGTAGGTAAATATGTAATCACATTTAGCGTCAGCCTAGACACAGCCACATAATTCAGCTGAAGGTCAACAGGGACAAGCGGAGGAAGGCGAAGGTGGCTAGTAGTACTACGCTCGAGTGTGGATAAGGAGTTCCAAAATTTTGTTGCATTATTCATGAATTTAATAAAGATGTTCTTTGATTAATCGGATTAATCCAGTAATCACAACAATGCACATGGTAGTAGAGCATGTGCTTGATGTGTCAACATAAGTGAAAGTTTAGGTTATTGTTTGTTTACTTGTGGTGAAGATCAATCCTTTTTATTTTTTCCATAAAATAAGTACTGACTGACAAATATACCTACGTCTCTTCTACAAAAATAATTTGGTTGTCCTAAAAATCAATAGCATGGTAAGAATTTTATTAGACATGTTTGTATTGGTTTGCTTGTAGGAGGCATACATTTGTTCTGTCTGCAATGAGACTACAGGCAAGACCATTGCCTCTGCTAGACATCATATTTGTATGAACAGACATGAAAATGTATGGATTTTGGACAAATATGTGTATCCATACGATCCTACCGCTTCCGAGACCAGTTCATATGTAGAAACGGAAGAAATGCTTACGCAGCAATCGGACGAAGTGTTTACTGAACAAACTGATATCTGTGGTGGTAATTGTTTGTTGTATCCACATATTATGGATTGTCTATACCTATATTTGTTAGCTTCTACTTCAAATGTCGAGGACGAGAATGTAGTGCCAATACTATGGCCTGTTCCAGCAAAAAAGCTTCTAATAGAATTGTATCCAAAATTTGCCAAAAGATTTTCTGATCGACTTATTATCTCGAAGGAGCAGATGTTTGCAAAACTTGCAGCTGAAATGGCACAATTTGGGTATAAGTATACAACAACTCAGGTTAAGTACAGATGGCGGTGTTTCGAGCGGTCTTATAAAAATTTTATAAAACATACAAAAGCAACAGGACGAGAATATAAAAAATTGGAATTTTATGACGAGCTACATGACATTTTCCATAACGAACCACGATTTCATCCAGAAATTGTTACATCAAGTGTAATCACAGTAACAAAAGAAATTTCAAAAGAAAATGTACCGCCGGTAGAAGAGACATTACTGCCACAACCCAGGAAACAACATGCCGTGATAATCACGTCAAAATCCAGTGATGTCTACCACCATGACGTGATGTGACAAGAATGGTACGTCATATTGACGTGATACAAATGCCTAATGAATGACGTCATATAAATACGAAAATGGGACGTGATAAACACGTCATTATTATGACTATTTTATTGGATATGCTTAATTTATATCAATAAATTTATAGTAGCAGTGTATAGGTGTGTTTAATAAAGCCGCCCAGTGCACAATCACTGAATATGGGAATTACGATATTCTTTTTTACCGCCTTTTATCTTCGGTACCTGACGTTACAATTCGGGTTATGTTCGTTTTTTGTCAGCTATCATGCGCAACGTGAATCGTTAGCGTCCTCCGTATAATAAAAAAGATGGAGTTTTTAGGTGTGGAGTTTTCTGCGTCTTGTGGGGGCGGTTTAGCTATAATTAACAGAAACTGGTTAACGCCAAGAAAAAAAAATGCCTTCTGGCCACCCTACAAAACTCAATCTGTGTACGAAAAAGCATTAAAAACGGGAGAGACACCAAATGAAGCAAACTGGAAAATTTATCCTGTTTCTAGGTGCTTCTTCGAAACAGGTGTGTATTTTTGTCCATATTATAATTCTAGTTACTCATAATGCATTTTTTTAGATGATTACTCGAAAGCAAGGTCAAAACTAAAGAGAGCCGAATTACAGTCCGATGTTCAATCAGATGCCGATGAGGATTCGTGTTTAAGTAAGAGGGCTATTCATCCTCCAAAACGGTTGTGCTATGAAAGCAGTGATGAAGAAGGGTCACTCAGTACACTTCCTGCACCACCTCCAATAAATATCTCAGAGCTTTCTAAAAATTTATTAAATGCAGAGTCGGCAGGTATTTATATTAGAATGTTAGTATATTAGTCACATTATTTATTTTGTAATAGGTTCGCCGGGTAGATCTCCACATTCAAATCCAATTTCTATTAAAAAGAATCGTCCTTCAAAGGCCTCTTTAATTATCTCGGAACACGATAGACAAACTCCGGCTAAATATAATGATGTCACGTCAGGTATTTGCGATAGTGTTATTCATCTTTACAATTCTGATCATAGTTTTTGTTGTAACAGGTTGCTCAAGTTCACTACAATCGACTCCGTACAGGATAAGAAATAAACTCTTCATACCTGATAATCTAGCTGATAATTTAGAAACTGAAGATACAGAAATTTGTGAAACATTAAATGAAGGACAATCAGGTATTCCATATGAATAATTATTCAAGGAAATATTTCATTACCTATAAACTGTCTTAGGTCCATCAAGTGTATTAAATTCACGAGTTTCGAGTCCTAATTTGAATCATACCATTGTTGATGTGGATGATTTGCTACGTGGAACTCATGTTGATTACCATGGTAACCTTTTATTTACCTAATTAAATCTATTACATAATTTTAATTTTAGATAAAAAATATAAGACTTTATTGCGGTTACTGATCCACATCAAGTCTCAAAATGATCATGTTGCTAAGCAAAATGAAGCCATTTTAAAGTCTTTAAAGAAGAGAGAAGTTTTACAACAAAGTAATACCTCATATCAACTGCCCAATGACGTCCCTGTGAAAATCCCCATACAACAATTACTGGAAATACCAATAATTGAGGAATACCTATCTGAAGAAGATCACCTATGTGCTATGGTACAAAAATGTTACTTTTCACTATATGTAATTGTTAAACATTTCTTATATTTTACAGAGTGCATATTTATCCACCTTAGGTGGCCGCGACATTACAACTAAAACAAATACTATTTTGAGAAGTGTGATCTCAAACAAAGTAGCAATCAATTTCAGTTTTTTGGGAACCCGTAACAATAAGCAGGCATTTACTAAATTAAACTTAAATAAATTGATTATTCGTAAGTTGTATACAAAATTGTCAGTATATGTACTTATTCTTACACACAAAAATTTTAGGGGCTGTGCAGTTATCAACGCCAAATACACCAGAGCATGAAATCAACGAAAATGTGAAAGTCTGGTTGAAACATGCTCCTCAGAGACTGACACTCGAAAATAAAAAACAAAAAGAAAATAAATAGGTATGTTAGTTGTACAAGAATTAATTTTTTAAGGTTTTTTTATTATTACTAATTAGATTAGTTGCATTCCTTCTATTATTAATATTTTTTATCATGTTTAAACAAAAATGTAAGCGTAAAGCCAAAACTTTGGTTTCAAAAAGACAATTGTACCGTAGAATTGCAAATGATGTTGATAACATTATAACTAGTATAAATTCCCAATCTTTGCCATCGAAAACTAATAAAACAACTCTTGTAAATGATACTGGAATATCAAATGCTAATTCTCAAGCAAGATCATCACCTAGCGACTTTAGTAGCTACACATATGAGAATTATAGTTTCACATATTCGACCTCATCTAATAGTGACTTGTCACTAAATGATATAAGTCAACATTCAGAAATGAATATACATAACAACGAAAATAGGGAAGGTGATGGAGACCATTCACTTACAGATAAGCTAAGAAATTGGGTTGTACACACTCCCACTATGCCACATTCAGCAGTAACATCATTACTTAAGATTTTAAACACGTATCATGCGGAGTTACCCTTAGACGTAAGGACTCTTATGAAAACCTCCCAAAAATTTGACATTCAAACAATGGAGACTGGACAGTTTGTTTATTTCGGAATTTAAAAAAATTTACAAATTTTCTTAATTAAAAATTTGAATTTTTCCCAAACAGTTATGGAACTATCATTTAACATTGATGGAATCCCTCTATTTAAAAGCTCGAATATCCAATTATGGCCCATATTAGGAATGGTACATAATTTCAAAATTAAATCCCCATTTGCTATTGCAATTTTTTGCGGAACTACAAAACCGAAACCATTGTCAAAATTTTTACATGATTTTATACAGGAATTGGCATTATTACAACAAAATGGTTTCTTATATAATGGAATTGATTATCAAGTCAAAACCAGGTGCTTTATTTGTGATGCACCTGCAAGGGCATTTCTCAAATGCATAAAATCACATGGAGGATACTCCTCATGTGAAAAATGTACAGATCCAGGCAAATATTTAGGTCCAGGTAGAGTGATTTTGGAAAATGTCAATGCTGAACTACGAACAGATGAATCTTTTAGGCTACAGAAAGACAGTGACCACCATAAAGAAGAAATCACACCATTATTGCAATTGAATATTGGCCTGGTCACATCATTCCCCATAGACTACATGCACAATGTTTGTTTAGGTGTAACACGTAAAATTATAAATTGCTGGATTAGTGGAAAGTATAAAACCAGATTATCTTTTCGTCAAATAGCAAACCTTTCTGAGCGAATGTTGAAAACCAAACATTGTATACCTATTGAAATTAATAGAAAACCACGTTCATTGAATGAATTAGCTCGCTTTAAGGCCACTGAATTTCGTACCTTTGTGTTGTACTTAGCACCATTTGTCCTTCCAGGAATAGTTGATAAAGCCGTCTATACTTTGTTTCAAGGGTGCTGAACCTTTCGTCACACTATCTGACGTCATAGCAAAATTAAGGCAGGTCGTAAATTAGTAGTTGGTTTACATATTGTCACATTGACGTTTTAACTTATTTATTAAGGTGTCACTATCGTTCATTATTATCAGACCGTCCAAGTTGACAATCACTTGTAAGGCATCTGGTCCTGATAGGTTTTTTCCTGTCCCCAAGTTTTATAATGGCTAAATGGTCATGTATTTTATGTAGAGGAACTCCGTTGGTATGAATTAAACTCGAGATGAAACTTTTTCCACCGTTTGTAATCAGAATCACCTCATGTAACCGATTCTTTGCACCGACAGTCGAAATGGATACTGCCAGAGCATCAGAAACTCTTTGAGATGAAGTGTATGATGGTTACAGAAAACGCATAGGAACATTTGTAACTTAAAGTTTGTCTTTAGGCAGTTCGTAAATTAATATTTTGTTTACATAATGTTGATGTGAAATTAAGTATGCTACCAATGTGAAGAATACGCGTTTTTTTATCGCCCTTAAACATAAGTTCATTAGCCAGCAGCTCATGTGTTTATTTGGACCTAGTCTAAACCTGTACACTTATTGAGAAATGATTTGAGGAACCGGAAAGGAGTGGAATAGGATGTACTCTTCACACCAAGGGGTCTCTCAGGGTGGCTAACGGACAGAACAGGTTAAGTTGCGCGAATTTTAATGATCCTTAACTAGCCATTTGCAGAAGTCGTATAGGCCATGGTTTGTCGGTAGGCCTTTCGCATTTATATATCTTACAAATTTGAGATAAAGCGTAGGCATTATACTCGTACCACAGGCTCATTGAAATAACAAGCATACATACAGTTTCTGTTCTTTTGCCACACACTCGAGATATTCGCATAAGGATCTTGAATATCTTCTGATCCGATTTATTTAAAAAAAACGCAATTGTGAGAGAAAACAGGTAGTGAAGATATTTATTCCTGAAAAAACTCAAATGTTCATATTCAAATCGTATGTACAAAAGAAAAAACGACACTACACCACAAGTATATATGTATAAACGGCCCAAAATAATATTCTTAAACACGCTCATTCTCTTCTGTCTCATGAATATAATCACCATAATAATCTTCGTCACTATCAGATTCGTCCAAGTTGACAATCACAGGTAAGATATCTGATGTATCAATATGTTGTTCCCGTTCCCAGGCCTGGTTTATAATGCCTCTTGTATGATCAAAATATCTTTTCCATTTTTCCGGTGTAACCTAAACATTCAAGTTATTAAGTACTGTTTCACAAAACAGCATATAAAGAGGTTACTTTGTGCAGTGCCTCATTCCATAAAGACAAAACGGCACTGTGTGTGACAGGCTGAATTGAACCGATCCTTGCATCGTAATGCTGTTTGCATTCTGACCATACCATTTCGATTGGATTATACTCGCAGTGATATGGAAGAAGTCTCAAAACACTGGAAATCTAACGAAAATCGTTTGACGGATTGATATTATTGACAGATCAATAATTGGTTTATTTGTCACGACTTACGTTAATGACGTAATTTTTTTGTCTCAATCGATTTAAATGTAATGAAGAGAGAATCGCATTTATGACGTCAGGTTCAGCACCAGTGAAACCAGTGAAACAAAGTATAACACTTTATTCCGTATAACTTCCGTTGCACGTCATCATATTCTATGACGTAATTACTATGCAATAATGCCAAATCTAGTTTTGAGCGATTTAGGTTATGTCACTTCACTTGTCAACAAGACAGTGCATTCTTTGTGTGAACAATCCACACCTTAAATAAAATAAAAATAATTTTTATTATTCATTTCGTTAATTGGAACCACAATATACATACAATATACTTTAACAACTTATGAACTGTACAAATGTAGCATCTCTTTTACAGAGAAAGTACTAAATATAAAATTTTACAGGTTATGTGATGTGATGGATGATATTCAAATTAATCGGAATAATCGGAACTGCTTTCGTGTTCAAAGTTTATAATAATAGTAGCAACGTTTTCAAGATCTAATTGCTTTTCTCTTTCGTACCACTCGTGTATTACAGTTTCCGTATCCTTAACTGAATTGCGCCACGTTTCGGAAGTTATCGATTGTAGTGATTCTTGTCACATGTTTATGCAATTTTCAATGCTTCGTCCATCTCTACCAATGTGTCGATTGTAATAATTTTTCGCTATGCCCCAAATATGTTCGATAGGATTAAAAACACGATGATAGGGTGGTAATCGTAAAACGAAGTAACCGTATTGCTCGGCTAAGTGGTGAATGCCTTATGCGGTACATTTTAGCTGATTTATTCCTAAAAGTATCAACAAGATTTATATAACATCAAATAATTTGCGAACGTACTTACTGTGCAACCTTTTCAACAGTTCGGCTGTAAAATCATTTTCGAAGAACTGCACATTATGATCACCTAACCACACTTTAATGTTGTTTGTTTTCCCGTTATCGAACACAATTACTAACGGGTTATCTAAATTCTTCAGTAATTTCTCTTCAAACCAATGCACAGCGAAAGACGTAGAAAATAATCAAAATCAAATCAAACGAAAAGTAAACCAAAAGCAACCTGTCAAATTTACAAAATTAAACGCGACAACATAGCGAAATGCTACCAATTGTTACGGCTAAAATAAACTACGTGCTTAATGTGTTGCCTAATAAACGAAAGTAAGTTTACGTTGGTACGTCGTTTTCTTCAGGTAATGACGTGCAACGGAAGATATACTGAATAGACCGTAGATTCACTTTGTTAAAATACTAATGCTCTTTCACCATGTATATAAAAAAAGGAAAAAGGAAACGACACGTTAGACACTGCCAATTTCGTAAATTTTATAGTTGGCGCACGCGCAGGGTATCATTTGTTTAAATAAAAATTATAAAAAATCAATAACTATCACCGGCTGCAATCGTTCATTCTACATTGAGATTTTTCCGTTTATCGCTGCATATTGCGGATATTTTTTGCAATTTTCGAAAGTCTGCGCTCACCGATTACCCATCAACATGTCGCTGCTTCCATTGGAGTCAAACCCTGACGTAAGATAAAAAAACAAATTTTTTAATTAGTCATCTTTCTCACTAATGCCGGCTTTTAGGTCTTAAACAAGGTTAGTATTCCGACATCGGCCCCGAATTTCGGGTAACGCCTCGAATTTTCAGTTTTTGCAAAAGTTGGGTGTGCCCGAAAAATGGAGCCTGGTCGACGTTTTCGGTTTAGACGCCGATTCGTTAGCGTGGGTTCCCAAGCCGGTTCTGTCTGTGATTCTCCTATTTCCTATAAGCGAAACGGTAAGCTGACGTCGTCGTCGCTTCCTATAGTGTTCGTCTCGTTAATCGACGAATTTCAGTATCAAACTTTCGCCGAGACGCAAGCGAACGAAATTAAGGAAGCCGGCCAGACGGTCACGCCCGATTTGTACTATGTCAAGCAGATGGTTTCCAACGCGTGCGGCACCGTGGCGCTGATTCACAGTATCGCGAATAATATGCAACAGTAAGTCGGTCTACCACGAGTTTCATTCAACCTATAAGAGTTATACAGGGTGTAATAATTTATTAGGTATATAAAAAAGCATGGTTCCATGGTTTTAAAAATCACCCTCAAATTTGGCACGCCCTGTACTTTCTTGAAGTTCTCTTTTACCTACGTTAAAGTACTATTACAGTTTAAGAAAGGGTTTTTTCCCCTTGTTCCTGTTTTAAGAAAGAATTTTTAACAGGATTGAGATCGCCGAGGGACCGTTTAAGAAGCTGCTCGACGAAAGCAAGAACATGACCCCGGCGGAAAGAGGGGAACTGCTTCAGAAATCTGCCGCTGCTATTATGGACGCGCATCGCGAATTGGAGAGCGAAGGACAGACGACCGTAAGCTCTGATCTTGTTCGTGCCAACTCGTAATTTGGCAACTTTCAGGCAAATCCAAACGATGAAGTTAACTTTCATTTCGTCGCGTTCGTTCAAAAAGACGGTCACTTGTACGAGTTGGATGGGCGCAAGGAGTTCGCCATCAATCATGGCGGTTCCACTCCGGAAACCCTACTCGAGGTATATCGTCATGTCGACCGATCCTTCTTAGACAGAGCAATTTTTACAGGACGCCGCCAAAGTCTGTCGCGGTTACATGGAACGCGAGGCCGACAACCACAATTTCACGATAATGGCGCTAACAGCTTCCCAAAATTAAATTACTTTTCCATCATCGCCCCGGGCACAAATCACATGTTTAGTTTTGGAGTACCGACACTTTTTCGTATTTTCAGGCTTTTCACCATCGACAGGCTTTCGAAGGTACTAATAATACTCGCAAGACCCCCAGCTTTCAATGTGTGCCTTTATGGAAAATTTTTTATTTCAGCCGTGTAGCCAAAAATTGATTGTGATCTTTCATTTTTTGTTCATTAAATATTTTGTATACTATTTTAAAATAAAAATGCTTTATCAATCTCTCCTTGGATGAGATCGGGATTCTGGTTTAGGGGGGGGGGGAGGGTTATAGCACAGTATATCTGTGGTTATAGGTTGCGCTGAGTTTTATATATAGGCCCTATTCTATTTATAAGAGGAGCCCCATCGAAAAGCTGATTGTGCCTACCCACTTTCGTTCTCAACTAGGTGCAGAGCCAGTTCCTCTCGATAAAGGATAGGATCCTGATTAGCCGAAGTTGCTTCACCCTCCCCGGTTCCAGATAACAGTGACGGACCACACACTTGGTAGTATTTCATCTGCCTAACCACAGTAGAATGTTCTGTCTTCGCTCTTTATTGCCGATTCTTTTTTGTCTCGATATAAATTCTACTGGTAATTGCACTATAACAGCATCTAAAACAGTTTTGACAACTACCACAAACGGCATTTTTTAGAGAAATCATCTACATTTTGTTTTTTATCTGTATCGTTCGGAAGCATCAATGCGGTGGACACGTTGACAATTTTTATACATTTTTTTTCAAGAAATCTCAATTTTATTGTGTTGTGGTTGACCCCGACAGGATCTTAAAATTTCTTCTCGTAATCGAACAGGTCTGGCCTGTACCCAACGTTTTTCTAGTAGATTATTTGCGAGATTATTAGGCAATACTTCATTTTTAATATCAGAGAAATTATGTTAATTTAAAAAGGAAAGATCCATACAGAAATCTGTGTACTTTGTGAAAATCTACCTTTAATCGATTGATTTTAAGAGTCTGAATAACATAGAAATTCTCAATTTTCTTCCAATTTACTCATTTAAATATCCGTAATTTCATTTTTAGCGCATCTTTGCAAATTTGTGTCTAAGGTAGCTTTTAATCTCAATTCCTGGCTAGCTGGCTGGCAGCAAATGCGAGTGTGTAGAGAAACGCTTGGAGGAAGACAAGGATGATGCGGTTGGCGACATCTGGGAGCCATCCCGAAGCGTGTTGTACTAACGTGGTGATTTTTCCTTCTTCTTCTACAGTTTTGGTCCGATTGTGCGCACCTAAAAGTTTCTTAAGTGCTCGAATCGCAGTTTCTCTTTCTCGTGTCGCCAATAGAAGCTGGAGTTATGAGAAGTGCCCCTAAAATTGAGTACTATTTTGTGGAGGGACTTTAGCAAAATCCACCAAAATACGAATTGCGGGTGAACGGGACGTCGGAGGTGGGCACCGACAAAGCGACTGTGGTAGCCTTCAACAAGAACTTATTGATGGACACGAGGACTTTGATATATATTTCAAAATTAATTCCTTGCCAGGCCTGACACCTCTCTGTTTTGTGTTTTCATTTGAATGATGCTGCCAGCCGCAAAGCGCTCATGGATCCTACTGACCCACCGGGAAAGTTCCCGGTATCTCTGCTCTACATTGAAATGGGCCATAATTTACAATAAAAGTGTCAAATATAACGCTATGCGAGGGAACTTAATGATCCCTATCGACCCGAGGTCTGGGGAGCACGGTCGATATTAACAATTTTCGTCTAGGATTTGTTTAAAAAGGGAAGATTGCGGCAGAGGTATTTGTGCTTTTGTTGAGGGCAGAAGTAATTTTTACGTTGCGAATAGTGAGTGCAGCTTCTACAATTACAAAGGTGATGTACCTACTAGTTTTTTTTATCTCTACGTCTATTGCATCCATCTAATAATGATATGTACATACGTGTTCGATTATTTGCCAATTTAATGTTATTCTCGTACAGCATGATTATTGCCATTTAGAACACATTCGAGATACAACTTGCACTTTTAATTGTACTGGTCATACTTTGAATTAAAATGCATAGAGATTCTACATAAATATGTTGTTGTCCAATTTACAGTACTCCTTTGTTCCAAACGCTGGCAACCTGAATTACTGGCCGATTTACGTGTTTTTATTTATATTGAGATACAGTATGTTCCCTTAGAGGTGATATTCAATACCAGTATGCAGAACTACATTTTAATTTATAATTGAATTTATTGCAGCACATTTCGCGTTTGTTTGCATGAATATGTTACTGTTTATTTACAGAGTGTTTCATCTGGGGGCGAGTGACGTACGTTAGGTGGTTGATTGTTACATATTGCACTTGGCATTGAGACTAATGTTTGCCAAGACATGTTCCTTTGTTTTGTTGTAATTGCGTGATACTACATAACGTTATGCTCCTACTATTTATTTGAACCGGGTAATTATGATTATTCATATTTGGTGGGGTGACTTAAGTTTCGAATATGTACTGTGCTATATTTGATACCGATATTTAATCTCGATTTGACGTAGCAGACGCTGGCTAAAGTTCAGAACTGACATACACAGAGATATATATTTTATGTACTGTTCCGCTGTTTTGTGTCTTTGAAAAGAGCCATCTTGCCGATATTGCTAATCAATGCGTTCAGTCACAGCCGTCTATAATTACAAGCCATGCTGAGAAGTTTGGCAACATTGTTCGAAAGTCAATCGGTGGGCCGATTCAAGTTTTAATGGCGTCTTGTTTCTCTAGAAAAATGGCATTTTTCCTCTCTCCTGTGTTTCGCCTTGGTGGTTTTAATACAGAAGAAAGATACTTAGGCAGCTTACAATTGTACATATATTTTATTTATTTACAAAAATGGATAATAACATTTTTATTTGACTTTAAAATTCGGAACGCTGTAAATTGGTAAATGCATTATAATGTGTTTTCCATCGAGATCTACGAAATTGGTGAACTTCTGTCGAAAGAGGTCGAGGTAAAGCACACGCTTGAGCACTTAATTTCGGCAAAAGGACAGTAAATCGCTCTGCATCAGCGAGGTTTTATCAACGACCAGGTGTGATTCTGAATGGCAGACTTTAAGCCAGTCGCTACTCCAGTGGGTCTAGGTATGAAGCTTTTAAAGAGGGGAGCCCCGTAGACTTCAAATGCCCGTACCGTGAACTCCTGGGAATAAGTCGAAAGGTTCCTTCAGAAAATCGACTTGACATGTCCGTGCTAGAATACCTGAAATACAAACTAATTGTGTTTTTTCACGATAAACACTTACCGTACTTACGTACCATGTAGTGTGTAGGTCATATTTGAGCTTGTACAGGTACTTTGAACAAATACAAGTGCTTGTAAAGGGTCCAGCAGTAGTCTGCTTTAGAGGTTATGACAACAAATCGATATATTTCGTTTAGCAACTTACCTGAATAATAATTTCTGTTGATTCCATACGGAGTAACACAAATTTACGCAATCTCGCTCTGTTAAAACAAGTAAATAGGAATCTTACACCCAAAACACATATAAAATACACCTGAAATCTGTCAAGTTGAATTAGGAAATCGGCCTACCATGCAGTGTTGCCATAATTCTCAGCACGGCTTGTAATTATAGACGGTTGTGGTTCAGTCGACCCTTGACATGTAGTGTCTGAATATTGGGTTTGTGTCAATCTTTGTTATGCCAGTGCAAATATGTCAAAGCCTACATAAATGCTATATATTTTGTTTATGATTATGTATGCGTGCGAGTTTGCCGATGGTTGCACTGTCATTTTTGTTATGTCATGATTTGTCTTTTGATCGGTTACTGTCAGTACTCATGGTAGATAGCCTGGAGTTCGGTAATTTATAACCCGGAACTTTATAACTAGTGGGTCGGATTGGCCCTAGAGATGTGTGAATGAAAGAGTTGGGGTCCCGCTTAATCGTACATGGGGCTGTCGGCTAAGCCCGGCCTCACTTGCGCAGGGTGTTCTCGTTGTGACTTTTTGTTTGTGTTATCAATTATCCTTCCTTTGTGAAAGGCTCTTCTGAGAGGCCAACTCCTAGCTTAATGATTGTTTTTTTTGTTATGTGTGTGGAATATTGATTCTTTAGGAATTCCAGCGGAGCCTGTGATCCAACATTATCTTAATTTACTTGACAACTATCACAATATGTATTTTTGCCATTACAGACAACTAATTTTGCTATAAAGTTCAATATTAATTTGTTGGCTGGGTTTTTTCTTGGTCAGTTCTTTTTTTCTATTTTCCTATTATAAAACCCCTCTATTACTTATTATCAAAGAGTACCCACTCTTTGTTATTATTTATTGCCCGCGTCAGAAATGAGTACCCTGGTGTATAGGCAACTCGTCATACCCGATGTTCTGAAAAAGCGGCCATGTTTTTTGCCAATTTGTAATGAGGCTGTACGCCTTTGGCAGTCCCTACGGGTAATTCATTTTTTACTCGTAGGGTAGTAGTAAATCACCTACAGCAATAAAATGCAAGAGAAAATACACGTAAATAAAACATCTCAAATATGTACCTAAATGGCGTGGCTCTACTCAAGCCTTCAGTTAACGTAAATTAATTTAACACGACAAGTACATGTGAGAATGCCAATAGAAAGTATTCATGTGAAAATCTATTATCGCTCAAGCAGAACATAATTTAAATAGTGGAAATATTAATGAGAGGGCCCCTAAATATCTCGCATTGCTAAGATGCCAAGAACTGCAATCCGCACGAGACGAGTAGGCAGCAGATACAGCGAAAGATCGAACTGTACCTACTCCACGGAGACAAAATGAATCACTCACACACACAAACATCGAAACATCAAATAAAATTAGAGAGACCCCTTTTCGTATCTAACGCACATCAAGAACTGCAGCGGGCCACGAATAAGAAAGTAACAGATACAGCGAACAATCCAAATGTATTAGGTACTTCTCTCACGGATAGTTACGAATCAATCGAACAGAGCACTGCTATTTTGCTGTCCCGTTTGGATTTAATGTGTTTCGTTTTGTTTGAGAATGCCAGTTGCATTTACTACTATGTTCTGTCGATCGTAGTCACAGATCTCCTTCTTCGCGTCTCTTTTACATTTTCCCTTCACCCTTTACATCTCCCTCAAACGTTCCTCATGCTCTCTTGACATATTATCATTCACCGCTCCTTTTTTCTCACCTACTTCGTACCTCACCCATGTTTACATTCAGCGTCTTTTATACATTTTCTTCAGGTGTCATTCTTCAATCCTTACTATAACCAAACCATCCCCTTGGCCCGTGGCCGGCTTCTCTACGCAATTCGTGTTTCATACATCCCTGAAACTTTTTTCACGCCATACTTTACACCCCCTTTTCCTTATGCGATGGTTTTGTCCGCCTGTCTGTCTGTCCCTCGTCTAACTCGAGAACGAAAAGAGACAGCGATGTCAAACCTTCGCCAATCGATTTCTACAAGTGCAAGGATCAGTGCTAATTGCTATCAGCCGGATCAAAAGTCTGTTGAGAAAAATATTCTCCTACTGAAAATCGTATGCGATTCATCGTATCTTGTACTTTCTCAACATTTTCCTTTTCCTTTTTTAGCACAAACGAACCCTGCACTCTTCTATCGCTTTGGTGGAATTTGAACTTTAAAAAGTTATTGAAATGGGATTGGAAAGTAGTTGCAATAACAGAGTATGTATCTATATTGAAAGAGCGTTAAATTCCAAAAAGTTCTTTAAAATGTTTATGCGCCGTACATGATTTTTCATGAAAAATAGTTAATTCTCTTTTATGCAACTACAAGAACCACGTTTACTACACCTTTTATGTGTGGCAGTAGGTACCTACGGGGCAATTTTTTGCAATTGAAATTCCTGCCTCCAATTCTAATTACGGTAAAGCATCGCGTCCGTGGAATGCGTTCATCATCCTTTCACAAAAAACTATAAACGTTGCCATAATAAAATTACTTTTAACCTTCGAGGTGCCCAAGTGACGTAAGATTCGTATTCGTCCCCTCCTTCAGGTAACACCTCCCTCGCCTCTGCGCCAGGACAGGTAGAACGGATGGTAAGCCCATTCGAGTGCTAAGTTTATACGTGTTTTATTGTTATATGCTTATATGTTTATTAAATAAGTGCGATTGTAAAAGTTAAGTGTTAAAATGTAGGTAAATCATTTAACAATGGATGTCTTTTGATCGTTGGTAGTAAAGGTAAGCGTCGCATTACGTAACACTATAACTGGAATTTATGTAGGCGCATTTAATTAAGTGGAATCACTTTCTTTTTTTATTTACTTTACCTAAGGGTAAATGAGATCTTCCCTTGGTGTTAAAGAGGTCCAAATTCGCTTTTTTGAGCGTTCAGAGTGGGTGGTTAAAGGGTAGTTTGTAAATAAACTGTGAGGATACTCCCACGTGCACATTAAAATTTCACATGGTGGTTCAGCCCAAAAGAACCACATAATTAAAGCGATAAGAAGAAAGTGACTTAAGATTTGGGTGAAAGTGCAGTGCGACTGTGCAAAATGCCAATGTCTTCGAACTATTTTAAGACCATTACTTCCTATGTCAGTAGGCGTTTAGCGGACCCTTGCTAACCTCGCCCGAAATCAATGCAAATGGATGCATTTTGCAATTATAATTCTGGAACCTAAACAATGCTATTTAGGCTTAAACTCCATTAAAGAAGTCTTGAAGGGCTGTCTGATATAAGGAGAATTATTGGTCTCCAAGAGTTTAAGAACCTCTGGAGTGTCATAAATGCCTTTTAGAGTTTCCTAGAGACCTTAGTGTTAAGTCGTCAGTGATCTCAAGTAGGCTTTGGAAGTGTACAACAGCCTTCTAGATTAATGTTTCGGTATGGCGGGCCTTAAAATAGACAAATGATGATTAGTCATTTCGAGAGTTCTTCCAAAAATTCCTTTGATTCCATACATTTGTAAACCTTTCAGCTCAAGATGGCTAAACGTCTCACCAAGAATCACTACGTAGCACCGCGTCTGGCGGAATCACCTACGCCAGTCCACATCAATCGAAATCCGGCATATTCTGATGAGGAAGGTAGTCAGAGAGGCGGATCCGAACACGGCTATCCAGAGTATGCGTCAGTAGTAAGTCTCGCACGCCAAGTGTGTGGGGCCCTCGCTTTAATTTGCAACTTTCAGCCCTACACCGTGGTGAGCGATCGCAATGGGCGTAGGCACCAGTCGCCGCACTCCCCATCGGTGCTGAGCAAGGGAAGCGGCTACGGTGACACCGGGTCGGATATCTACGTGACGAGCGGTGCGTACAAGTCACCGTCCGAAATTAGGTAGGATCATCCTCAGTACAGGCCCTGCATAATCCGACCTTTGCACACAGCCGAGGCTCCCGAGCTCCCAGAGCGCCGAGCCAATTCTCCTACAGAAGCGGTAAGGCGCCATCTCTCGCGAGCACGGCGAAAACTCGAACGTCCCGCAAAGCCGGCGCACGCATCGAGGCCATGACCGCCCCCAACCCGTTCTGCCCCAACATCAAGGGAATGTGCTGCCTAATGATCTTACTAAACTTGGGGATCATCCTGGTAACGTTAGGCTTCATCATAGTCATACAGTTCTTCGAGCCGGTATACGTGTGGTAACTACCCAGACATCCCCCCGCCACCGTTTTAAAAACCGCCACCCTTTCAGGATCCTCGGAATTGTCTTTCTAGTCTTCGGATTCATAACGTTAATTATTAGCCTACTGTACTGCGTCGTGATATTTAGAGATGCCCGTAATCCGAAGGACGTCAATCCCGAAGATCTCTACTGGACGCACCACTGGCAAAAGGACATCGGCTCGCCAGAGGTACACTACAAATCCGAAGAGAAGTACAACGACGATAGATACAGCGATAGGTATTCGGTTAGTAAATTGTCCGGAAAGTACTCGGACAGGAATGGAAGATATTAATCGACAAATTAACAATTAATTTTATTAATCGAAGTTAACTTAGCGATATGTACATACTTTAATGTTTATTAATTGAAGAATATTTATTTGTTTAACACGATTTATTTGTTTATATGTGTTTTATTTAGTAAACGTCTGTATCGATGAAACCTTACACAAGGTTAAACAAGTTAAAAAGTACCTAATCGTAAACGATTTACCTACATAAAGCGCATTTCCACAGACAGACAATGAAACAGACGGACAGACCAACAAACAGACGACAGACATCAGCAATACAAAATTATAAACGATCTCTAGGATCGTTAATAAACGGCAAAAGTGTGAAAGTATGCAACATGTAAAAAACGGTTTTTTGGTTTTTTTACAATAACTTTTTTACCGATAAACGCAGAAAAAATTCCCTCCTTGGTGCAAGCCTCGGCACCATAACGAGCCAAGTAGCGAAATAAATAACTCGTAAGATAAAGAACTAGTATGTAGCGTCTCAACGGACAAGCGGACGGACGGCCCGACAAAGTGGCCACAATAGCGCATTTTCACAAAAATAAAAAATGCGCTATTGTGGCCACTTTGTCCGTCCGTCCGCTCGTTCGTTGAGACGCTACTAGTTCTATTGTTCTACTGTTTTTGCTATTTGGTTCGTTATGGTGTCGAGGCTTGCACCAAGGAAGGATTTTTTTTCGTTTATTGCTAAAAAAGTTATTGTAAAAAACCAACAGACCGTCTTCTATATGTTCCATAATTTTACACTTTTGCCGTTTATTAACGATCTTAGAGATCGTTTATAATTTTGTAGTGATGTCTGACGTCTGTCTGTTGATCTGCCCGTCTGTTCCTTTGTCTGTCTGTCTCTCTATCTATCCGTGTGAACGATAACTTTGGTTAGAAATGTCCGATCGCTTTGACATCTCCGTTAGTTATGAACTGAATTGCATGAAATTCAATATGGGCATAGCCTTAGCCATATAATGCGCAATGCCAAAAGTTGAGTCGAATCGATTCAAAATTCACAGTGTCCTTTTCGCATCTCGACCATTTATAAACCGAATTGCAAATTTTTTTATTTATAAAAGTATTTGAATGAAATTTGATACATAGGCACTTGGAATAAATGAAAATCTAACGCCAGTTTCAATTTGGTTTTGCGCATGCGCAGTGCTACCTTTTTTATTTAGAAAAGCATTGAAATGAAATTCTTCTTATAAACTGAAATTGAAGTAGCACGTCAAAAATGGATTGCACCTATGCAACGCTATCTTTCATATTTGTAGGCGTAGGCTTCATTCGTATGAGTATATAGGTACCTACAACTAATTTCGTGCCGACTGTAGAAAATCAGGTTTTCTACCCCTCAGACCCTCCGGTTGTGTGTTTTACACAAAATCAGTGAAAAAGGATGATGGTTCTGTAAAGTTCCACAAGAGACCCCCCACTCTCCAGCAAAGGGAAATTCTATTGTTAGGGAGTTCTCCCATTTTCCTATAATCCCCCCTCAGTGTACACGGTCCGTATACTAAACGGTTGCCTCACTTCCAAACAACCAATAAAACACGCTGCCAATTGTGACGTACTTCAGCACCGCCCACCACACAATTCTCATGCACTATATGCAAACATAGTTAATTATTACATTACATATCTTATCAGATCGTAGATCCAAGCTATATGCGTCTTGAAAAAGACGAGTTTGTATAAAACTGGAGACGGAAAACGTAAAATAAAGCAAATACAAGAAGCAAAGTGTAAACTAAAATCATTGAACTATATACTCTGTAACAAAAGTATATAGTTCAATGACTAAAATAACGTAAAGCGTCAACTGTCAAAACGGAATAATTAATAATTATGGCGCGGAATGTATCGCGTCGTTTTGCAGACTTTCTATTGGCTAGCCTGAATGATTTCAAAATTAGTTCGCATATTTTCCGGGGCTTTTCTGAGCATGGTGGCACTGTATAGGTAACCAATAATTCAATACCTTGAAAGAAAATTAACACATTAATAAGAAATGCAGCATATGAGGGCGAGAGATGCATACAATACACCTTTGCACGATGGCCGTGGTACAAACGTCAAGCATACAGAAACGTCAGCAAATTCTACGGCAGGCCAGAGTACGTCACACGCGGGAAGTTCCCCTCTCTCTGCGCGCCCACAAACTGCAGTGACTGAGGCAACCGTTCAGTATACGGGCCGTGCTCAGTGTACGTAGGTTTCATTCGTATGAGTAAACAACTGAATATCGTGATGGCTATAGAAAAAGGATACCTAATCAGGTTTTTGTTTACTGGCCCCCTCCCCCGCGGTTGTGTGCTTTTTCCCAAAATTACATATAAAAAAGGATGGTGGTTTTTTAAAGTGTCACGAGAATCCTCAGAGGAACGTAACACCAGGTCCCTGGGGGGTATTCCCTGTGGGATATGGAATACCCTCCAGCAAAAAGATAGGTATTCTATTGTTAGGGAATTTTCCCATTTTCCTATAATACCCCTCTGTAGGTATACGTAGATTTCATTTGTATATGAGTAAACATGATTGATATCGCGATGACTGTAGAAAAAGGATAATTGGGATTTTGTTTACTTACTGAGGGGTATTCCATTACCCCCTCCCCCCCCCCAAACCCATCGGTGGTGTCCTTTTTCCCAACAGTAGTCAAAAAAGGATGGTGGTTTTTTAAAGTATCACCATAGAGTCCGCACAAAGGAACGTCGTAGCACGGGGGTCTGGAAAATCCCCCCAGCAAAGGGAAATTCTATTATTAGGGTTTCTTCTTAGCTTTATTAGGTAAGTAGGTACTAGCATAGTGTAAGAATCTTTACACTAAGGTACTAGGTATAGTAACTAAGAGGTAGGTAATAGAGTGGACTTCTGTCTCTCTGGAGATGTACACCGTAGTCTTTCAAACTGAGGTCTAATATATGCCATAAGCGTCTGCTCAATAAAACCTGGAAAACAACCGGAAACTTTTTTAGATACTTCGCCGACATTAAAAAGGCTTTACGACGGCACTCAGATATCGCAAGCCACGAAGTCATAGAATACTTTGGGAGCATATCAAATCACACATCCATCAACCATGTTTCAATACTTACTTATTGCAAATGAATTGGAGTTCAAGCACAATTACTACATACCTATAGCTTGACGAAAATTTTATTTAAAAAATACGCACATTGCAAGTATTAATTAAAGGACTGAATTATCGACTTAATCGTTAAGCATTCATTTCAGTGCAGCATTTTTTAACAAACTTCATATCCATTTACGGAGAATGGAGGGCATTTTTAATAGACCGGGAGGCAGCGTACATAGTAACTAAACCATAAGCGACAAAAAATTCGACAATACAGGCTGAAAGTACGTTGAAAACTAATAATAAAATCACTCGTCTGCCAGTCGTAAGTGGCAGCATTAACTTGGGGCGGCGCTGAATAGATGACTTCTTTAGGTGATCAACTAAATTACCAAACTATAAGGGCCACGGAAAAGATTTGTATCAAGAAATCCCATTTTTTCCGTAGTTTTCAAATATGCTATGGCAGACGATTTCAAGTGCAGCGTTGGTAGCGAAAGACGCCCTTCAATGTAGGGAAAAACACCCCTGAAGTAAACCATGAGGACCGTGTAAAAGTTATACATAAAAAATTCCTCTTTTTGTCACTACTTTAAAATATATCCTGGCGGACAATATTAAGTGTAGCTTTAATAGTGGCAGACGTCTTAGAAGTTAAAAAATTTAGGTATAGTAAATCCCAGCGAGTGCGAGCGTGTGAGAGATAAGCGCGCGAGAGCACAACGAACAGAGATAGCTATAGATTTACGCACCGCTTGGAGTTACCAAACGAATTAAATTAGGGAAAATAATAAATTGCTTATTTGGCGATAAGATTATCGGTATTTCTTGAATTCTTCTCAGACTGAGAAACAGAAAACTTGAAGAGAAAAGAAAATAGATCTTCAGCTCGTTCTAAACTATCCTCTGACTCCAGTTCCGTTGTCTCTATGCAACATTGATGGATCGATGATTAAAATCGACAAGTTTGTTTTGCTGAAACTTTTTCGGAAGTATGATTCTCCAAGTGCTCTTAGTCCATCGACAGTTGTAGATGTTGTTTTAATCGATGGATTATGTTTTTTGCATCTTTTAAAAGATCTCCGGTAAACCTTTGAGCGATTTTCTGAACACATCCTCGGCAAGATTTGTGCTGTGTCAGCGAGAGAAGTTCATCTTACTTTTGACAGATCGTTACCCCTTCCATGAAGGACGTAGAACATGATCGTTGGGATCAAAATAAGGAAAGATTTCAGTCTTATTCAATTTCTGTTTCCACTCAGAGGCAGCCTGCAAATTTCATAAAACCACTTCGCAATGATAGCTCAAAGCCTCTCTTATAGATTACTTATACCGTTCATAGGCAAAAAAGACCTGTTGTGCTTTACTTGGAAGGAAAGTTGTGTTTGCCACATATGAAGATAAGTGCTATAAATTTGTGACAAGGGAAGATGATGTGGTAAAAACTGAATTGTGCTGCAGCCACTAAGAGGCAGATTCTCGAATAATTTACCATCTTGGTAAACTACCAAGAAGTAGCAAAGTCATTATTAGCGCTTCCGATATGGATATTGCTGTTATTGCTTTGGGAAATGTAAAATTGACGCTACCATCAAGGTATAGATGGAAGTAGGTCTCTTTTCCAATAACACGTAGAAATTCATAATCTTCGAGAGATGTTCGTGAATTTGGGTGTTGATGTGTGTAACGCGCAGGGTAACGCGTTACCGGGTTCCCACGCATTTACCGGATGTATGACTTGTGTATGGTCGTCATGGTTTAGTTCATCGCAATTTGAGCGAATGCCACCGAAAAATGTCTGAGTTTCTACAATCCGTTTGATTGAAGTGGATGGAACTATGTGAATCAGAAGTTTAGAATCAAATGGTTTGAAAGATCTCAGTATTCAGTATCCTATCGCTATCTCTGTTGGTTATGCTCTCGCGCGCTTATCTCTCACACGCTCGCACTCGCTGGGATTTACTATACCTAAATTTTTTAACTTCTAAGACGTCTGCCACTATTAAAGTTACACTTAATATTGTCTGCCAGGA